CTCATGTCTCTTCTACATCAACATGTGTCCCCTCTTCCTCATGTCTCTCTACATCAACATGTGTCCCCTCTTCTTCATGCTCCTTCTACATCAACATGTGTCCCCTCTTCTTCATGTCCTCTTCTACATCAACATGTGTCCCCTCTTCTACGTCTCTTCTACATCAACATGTGTCCCCTCTTCTCATGTCTCTTCTACATCAACACGTGTCCCCTCTTCCTCATGTCTCTTCATCAACATGTGTCCCCTCTTCTTCATGTCTCTCTCGACATCAACATGTGTCCCCTCTTCTTCGTGTCTCTCTACATCAACATGTGTCCCCTCTTCTTCATGTCTCTTCTACATCAACATGTGTCCCCTCTTCTTCATGTCTCTCTACATCAACACGTGTCCCCTCTTCCTCATGTCTCTCTACATCAACATGTGTCCCCTCTTCTTCGTGTCTCTTCTACATCAACATGTGTCCCTCTTCTTCATGTCTCTTCACATCAACATGTGTCCCCTCTTCTTCGTGTCTCTTCTACATCAAAACGTGTCCCCTCTTCTTCATGTCTCTTCTCATCAACATGTGTCCCCTCTTCTTCATGTCTCTTCTACATCAACATGTGTCCCCTCTTCTTCATGTCTCTCCATCAACATGTGTCCCCTCTTCTTCGTGTCTCTTCTACATCAACATGTGTCCCCTCTTCTTCATGTCTTCTACATCAACATGTGTCCCCTCTTCTTCATGTCTCTTCTACATCAACATGTGTCCCTCTTCTTCATGTCTCTTCTACATCAACATGTGTCCCCTCTTCTTCATATCTCTTCTACATCAACATGTGTCCCCTCTTCTCATGTCTCTTCTACATCAACATGTCCCCTCTTCTTCATGTCTCTTCTACATCAACATGTGTCCCCTCTTCTTCATGTCTCTTCTACATCAACATGTGTCCCCTCTTCCTCATGTCTCTCTACATCAATATGTGTCCCCTCTTCTTCATGTCTCTTCTACATCAACATGTGTCCCCTCTTCCTCATGTCTCTTCTACATCAACATGTGTCCCCTCTTCCTCATGTCTCTTCTACATCAACATGTGTCCCCTCTTCTTCATGTCTCTTCTACATCAACATGTGTCCCCTCTTCTACATCAACATGTGTCCCCTCTTCTTCATGTCTCTTCTACATCAACATGTGTCCCCTCTTCCTCTCTCTCTCTACATCAATGTGTCCCCTCTTCTTCATGTCTCTTCTACATCAACATGTGTCCCCTCTTCCTCATGTCTCTTCTACATCAACATGTGTCCCCTCTTCTCATGTCTCTTCTACATCAACATGTGTCCCCTCTTCTTCATGTCTCTTCTACATCAACATGTGTCCCCTCTTCTTCATGTCTCTTCTACATCAACATGTGTCCCCTCTTCTTCATGTCTCTTCTACATCAACATGTGTCCCCTCTTCTTCATGTCTCTTCGACATCAACATGTGTCCCCTCTTCTTCGTGTCTTTTCTACATCAACATGTGTCCCCTCTTCTTCATGTCTCTTCTACATCAACATGTGTCCCCTCTTCTTCATGTCTCTTCTACATCAACATGTGTCCCCTCTTCTTCATATCTCTTCTACATCAACATGTGTCCCCTCTTCCTCATGTCTCTTCTACATCAACATGTGTCCCCTCTTCTTCATGTCTCTTCTACATCAACATGTGTCCCCTCTTCCTCATGTCTCTCTACATCAACATGTGTCCCCTCTTCTTCATGTCTCTTCTACATCAACATGTGTCCCCTCTTCTCCATGTCTCTTCTACATCAACATGTGTCCCCTCTTCTTCACGTCTCTTCTACATCAACATGTGTCCCCTCTTCTTCACGTCTCTTCTACATCAACATGTGTCCCCTCTTCCCATGTCTCTTCTCATCAACAACCGTGTCCGTCTTCTTCTCTTTACATCAACATGTGTCCCCTCTTCTTCTGTCTCTTCTACATCAACATGTGTCCCCTCTTCTTCATGTCTCTTTTACATCAACATGTGTCCCCTCTTCTTCATGTCTCTTCTACATCAACATGTGTCCCCTCTTCTTCATGTCTCTTCTACATCAACATGTGTCCCCTTCTTCATGTCTCTTCTACGTCAACATGTGTCCCCTCTTCTTCATGTCTCTTCTACATCAACATGTGCCCCCTCTTCTCATGTCTCTTCTACATCAACATGTGTCCCTCTTCTTCATGTCTCTTCTACATCAACATGTGTCTCCTCTTCTTCATGTCTACTACATCAACATGTGTCCCCTCTTCCTCATGTCTCTTCTACATCAACATGTGTCCCCTCTTCTTCATGTCTCTTCTACATCAACATGTGTCCCCTCTTCTTCATGTCTCTTCTACATCAACATGTGTCCCCTCTTCCTCATGTCTCTTCTACATCAACATGTGTCCCCTCTTCTTCAGGTCTCTTCTACATCAACATGTGTCCCCTCTTCTTCATGTCTCTTCTACATCAACATGTGTCCCCTCTTCTTCACGTCTCTTCTACATCAACATGTGTCCCCTCTTCTTCACATCTCTTCTTCATCAACATGTGTCCCCTCTTCTTCACGTCTCTTCTACATCAACATGTGTCCCCTCTTCCTCATGTCTCTTCTACATCAACATGTGTCCCCTCTTCTTCATGTCTCTTCTACATCAACATGTGTCCCCTCTTCTTCATGTCTCTTCTACATCAACATGTGTCCCCTCTTCTTCATGTCTCTTCTACATCAACATGTGTCCCCTCTTCTTCATGTCTCTTCTACATCAACATGTGTCCCCTCTTCACATGTCTCTTCTACATCAACATGTGTCCCCTCTTCTTCATGTCTCTTCTACATCAACATGTGTCCCCTCTTCTCCATGTCTCTTTTACATCAACATGTGTCCCCTCTTCTTCATGTCTCTTCTACATCAACATGTGTCCCCTCTTCTTCATGTCTCTTCTACATCAACATGTGTCCCCTCTTCTTCATGTCTCTTCTACATCAACATGTGTCCCCTCTTCCTCATGTCTCTTCTACATCAACATGTGTCCCCTCTTCCTCATGTCTCTTCTACATCAACATGTGTCCCCTCTTCCTCATGTCTCTTCTACATCAACATGTGTCCCCTCTTCTCCATGTCTCTTCTACATCAACATGTGTTCTCTCTTCTTCATGTCTCTTCTACATCAACATGTGTCCCCTCTTCTTCATGTCTCTTCTACATCAACACGTGTCCCCTCTTCTTCATGTCTCTTCTACATCACGTGTCCCCTCTTCTTCATGTCTCTTCTACATCAACATGTGTCCCCTCTTCTTCATGTCTCTTCTACATCAACATGTGTCCCCTCTTCTCCATATCTCTTCTACATCAACATGTGTCCCCTCTGTGGAAAGAGACTCTGAAAGTTTCAGGAACAAAGATTCTCTCTTTTTGATCCATTTCTATAAAAACCTGTCTGAAAATGAGCTGATCAGATTTTGGCCACTTGATGATGTCATAACGATGTCTTGTCTTGTGTAACCATTAGCCAATCAGCAACCAAGGTAACCCCCCCCCCCTTATCACCTGAATCTCCTCCTAGAGCACCATTGAGTTCTTTGTAACCAAATGTCTCTCAGAGGGGCGTGGGGAGGGGCTCCTTATTTCATCTAAAGTAACAGACAGAGAATCAGCACTTTGGAAACAGGGCTGAAACAGAGGGGATTATGGGTAATGCTGCAATGATCTGTTTGGTGCTTCAGCCAATCAGAGACAGGCTCTGGATATATCTGAGACAGTACAATAGGGGACCTTTAAGAATGTCCTCCCAAATGGAAGAAGTGGCCCCTCACCCCCCCGCAGGTTGAGCAGGATGTTGTCCAGGTCTTTGCGGATCACCAGCACTCGCTCGTCGGCGGACTGGAAGGTCTCCTTGGCGAACTGAGCCATGTAGGGCTGCAGGAAGGTGTAGAAGATGTCAGGGAACGCCTTGCCTCTCTGCTGCTTCAGGTACTCCTCCGCTGTCAGGCGCTTCTCCGGCTCCCTCTGCACCATCTGAGACACCTGAGAGACAACATCACCATGTGAGACACCTGAGACACAACATGTCATTGCATTGTTCCGTTCATGGTGTGAACAACTTAATGTATATAATTCTTTACAAAACATAAAAAACAAAACAATTTCTACGAATACTCCGTACCCGAAAAGGAGCAGGGAGAAGAAAGTAGTCTGATAGTATCTGCCCCTTTCTCAACAAAAAGTAAATAACTAGAAACAGATGTCTTTCTATTTCACATGCTAATCATAAGAGTATCGAAGGACAAATAAGAGAAACACTAAAACATACAAACTAAAGTGACAGTTAATGGAAACAAATGTAAACAAATAAACAAAAACAACACCAAAACAAGGTAAAGACATCACACAACAAAAACATCACTTCCTGTTACACAACAACCACCCTGGGGTCTTTCAAACCAAGGCTGAAGACCTTCCTTAAACCGCTCTTAAAAGAATAATCTAGATGCTTCAGTAATGAACAATTACAGGCCCATATCAAACCTCCCATTTCTAGGTAAAATCATTGAAAAGTTGTTTTTCAACAGTTGAGTAACTTCTTGCATTTAAATAGCTGTTTCGATGTGTTCCAGTCAGGCTTTCGTCCAAACCACAGCACTGAGACTGCTCTTGTAAAGGTCTTTAATGACATCCACTTAAACACAGACAGTGGCAGAACTTCAGTGTTAGTATTATTAGATCTCAGTGCTGCGTTTGACACTGTTGACCACAGCATATTACTCGACCGACTGGAGAACTGGGTGGGACTTTCGGAAACAGTTCTGAATTGGTTTGAATCCTACTTAAAGGACAGAAACAACTTTGTTTCTATAGGTAAATACACATCTGAGTTGACAAATATGACATGTGGGGTTCCTCAAGGCTCCATCTTGGGGCCTCTTCTCTTTAACATCTACATGCTACCACTGGCTCAGATAATGAAGAACAACAAAATAAGTTACCATAGCTATGCAGATGACACACACATTTACATAACAATGTCACCAGGAGACTATTCTCCAATTCAAACACTGAGTAAGTGCATTGAACAAATCAATGACTGGATGTGTCAGAACTTTCTCCAATTAAACAAAGATAAAACTGAAGTAATGGTTTTTGGAGCCAAGTCAGAACGTATAAAAGTTAGCGCTGAGCTTCAGTCTGCAATGTTCAAAACAACAGATAAAGCCAGAAATCTAGGTGTAGTCATGGACTCTGACCTGAGTTTCAACAGTCACATTAAAACTGTTACTAAATCAGCCTACTATCACCTAAAGAATATATCTAGGATTAAAAGACTAATGTCACAGCAGGATTTGGAAAAACGTGTCCATGCTTTTATCTTCAGTAGACTGGACTACTGCAATGGTGTCTTCACAGGTCTCACTAAAAAATCTATTAGGAAGCTGCAGCTGATTCAGAACGCCGCTGCTCGAGTCCTCACTAACACTAAGAAAGTGGATCACATCACTCCAGTTCTGAAGTCTTTACACTGGCTTCCTGTGTGTCAAAGAATAGATTTCTAAATACTGCTGCTGGTTTATAAAGCACTGAATGGTTTAGGCCCAAAATACATTTCTGACCTCCTGCTAAATGATGAACCATCCAGATCTCTCAGGTCTTCAGGGACTGGTCAGCTTTCTGTCCCCAGAGTCAGAACTAAACATGGAGAAGCAGCGTTCAGTTATTATGCTCCAAATATCTGGAACAAACTCCCAGAAACCTGCAGGTCCGCTGCAACTCTGACTACTTTTAAATCCAGGCTGAAGACTTTTCTTTTTGTCGCTGCTTTTAATTGAACTATTCATATCTTAGACTGCACTGTAACTTTTATCCATGTACTTTTTCTTTTAATGTTTAATTTATTATCTTTTCTTTTTAATGACTGATTTTAAATGCCATTTTCTGAATGTCTTTCATTTTTTGTAAAGCACTTTGAATTGCCTTGTGTTGAAAAGTGCTATATAAATAAACTTGCCTTGCCTTCCTGTCACGCAGCGTCCACACGGCGGCGTGCGTTGAGGCTTGCCGGTGGGCGTGTCTGAAACTAGACCAACAACCAATCACATGAATCTCCCGGCCCTGACACGCAAGCACGCGGTTTGATTGGCTAGAGCTTGTACTGGCATATGATTCGATTGGCTGACGCTTCCGCCGAAGCTTCAAAAGTTGAACATTGCTCAACTTTTGAAGCGAGCGACGCTCCCACAATGCAGTTCGGCAAAGCGTGACGTCACCCCATTAAAATTGAATGGGCAGAAGCGTTGAAGCTTCAACGCACGCCGCCGTGTGGACGGGCCGTTACACCATCAACCTGAAGGACACTCAGATCCTCCAATAGAAGTACCTAGAGCGCATTACAAGAACACTGGGGAGGCTGCTTTCTGCTTTTATATCGCAGTAACTTCAATTGGAAAATTTTTCAAGTAAATTAAAGACCTATCTTTTTAATTTGTCTTCTCATTTGGGGCAACTGTACTTTTTTTAGTGGTATCACTGTTCATGTGTTCATGTTTTATTGTTCTACTGATTTATGGTTCAGTGATATAACTCTTTCTGTTTCTTTATACCTTGTTTTTAATTATGTTCCTCACTTTTTATTGTCATTTCCCGTCATACTCTGTGAAGCACTTTGGGCTGCGTCAATCTGGAAAGATCCTATATAAATAAAGTGTATTATTATTATAATTATTACACAACACCAACCCTGGGGTCTTTCAAATAAAGGCTGAAGACCTTCCTGTAAAGCCCCGGACACACCAAGCTGACACCTAAGAACTCACACAGACTAGGGCAACTGTGGCTGCGAGGGAGTGCGGTCGTCTTTCAACCAGAAGGTTGTGGGTTCGATCCCAGCCCGTGCAGTCAACATGTCGATGTATCCTTGGGCAAGATACTTAACCCTGAGTTGCTCCCGATGGCATGTGTGAATGTGTGTGAATGTTAGGTCCTAGAGCAAGTGGTACTGCTCTGTGGGAATGGGTGAATGACATGTAGTATGTAAAGCGCTTTGAGGGGTCGTAAAGACTGGATAAAGCGCTATATAAGTACAGTCCATTTACCATTACACAGACGGACCCCGACTGTTGCGTCTTGGCCATGTTTTGCACTGGAACACACCGCAAAGACTTCAGCCGACGGCCAAGAAGCACGTACGAACTGCGCAGGCGTGAATGGCAATAACTCTCCTTACCAGCAGGCGGCGGTAGTGTGTATTCCTCATTCAAAAGAGGCAACAACCGGAAGACAGACTGCGTGATAACCGAGAGAAGAACAGACTGCGTGATATAAACAAACAACAAATAGCGTGTGCGTTCCATTTTCACTCTACAGCGAGAAGCTCACGGGGCTTTCCCGAACCTGTCGAGAGCTGGAGTTAAATGAAATCTCACATTTGCCTTCTTAATAGTTTCTTTGGGTCCCTCACTTCTGTTTAGCTTCTCATGCACTGATTCGCTAGCTGAACAGCCAATCAGAGTGATTTATTTTGCCGACTGCCTTCGGCCGAAAAGGCGTCGGCACGGCTGAGAAGACCCGACGGTGCGGGACACACCAATCTGAGTAGGGCGTGTCGACGCTCATCTTCGGCCTGACGCCCACCAACGCTGATAATCGGCCTGGTGTGTCCGTGCCTTGAAGGCCCTGACACACCTACCCGATGTTGGAAGTCAGAGGCCGTCAGAGGCAGTCGGGCATTCGCGGCGCCCTACTCAGGTTGGTGTGTCCCGCACCGTCGCTGCTTTACGGCACATTTTCACGCCTCCCACGGCCAAAGAAAGTCGGCCAAAGAAATCACTCTGATTGGCTGTTGCCTCTTTTGAATGACGAATACACACTACCGCTGCCTGCTGGTAAGGACAGTTATTGCCACTCGTCGACTGAAGTCTTTGCGGTGTGTTCGTAGGCGGCGACGTAGCGGATGTAAAAGTCGGGACGCCTTCGGTACGCGTTCTTTGGTCTCAGGTCGGTGTGTAGCGGCCTTTACACCATCAACCTGTGAGGACCCGACTTGCCAACCTTGAGACCTCAGAAATCGGGAGCATTTCAAAACCAACCTCCCTAAAAGACCGTCTTATTCCAAGAATCTTCATTTCAGTATAACGGAAAGGTTTCCTCAATAACGTTCCAAAGGGGGGTTCGTTCAGCACGAATCACTTGAAGGATGAGTTAAGAGAGAAAGTAGAAGGAAAGTGAGGAAAACTCTTTCTGCTAAAAAGTGAGCGATGATTGAGAGTCAGAGCTCAACCTTTCAGATGTGTGTATCTCGCACTGCTCTGTGACTTTCATCCATGTTTTATTACCTTTGCTTTAAAGGAGTGTTTTTAAATGCCATGTTATGACATGTTTCTTAAAGCTCTTGATGTCTTTCATGTCTGTAAAGCACTTTGAATTGCCTTGTGTTGAAAGGTGCTCTATAAATAAACTTTCCTCACGATTGTATTATTATTTGTTAGTTTGTCTCCATACGTCTCCACGTATGTGTGTGTTCAGGTGTGTGTTCAGGTGTGTGTGCTGTAATGATTACCAGCTCTCTGACGCTCTGGTCCTCGATCTTCAGGAGGACGTGCTCCGTCTGGAAGTTTCCTTTCCGGTACGCCAGCAGCTGGGAAAGGTCGAAGAGAGGGACGCCCTCCGTGAAGAGCTCCGCGATCACACAGCCTGCAAACACAGGAGAACTCTGTAGTCCAGCGCTCAATCAAACTGCCTTTGAATACACCATCATAATAATTCATGTTCACCATGGCCTTTGACCCCTAACCCATCAGCGTCCCCCTGCTTCCACTCCTATTTCATTTGTATTACCTTATTATTTGCCCTTTTGTTTATTTGTTTGTTCACCATGTGCCTTGGGTCCTTGAAAGGCGCTATACAAACTACATATGCACTACATTAATGCACACAATATCTGTTTGTTTTTTCATTACTGCACATATTTTATTCCATTCTATTTCAATGTAAGCACTGCTATATTTTACTATATTTTGTAATGTTATTATAGTTTTCTTTAAATAGTTTTCTGTGTCTTTAATGCACCACGACACCAAGTCAAATTCCTCGTACGTGTCAAACTACCTGCTGATAAACCTGGTTCTGAAAAGAGGCGCTATGCTTACTTACCTTTTTTGTCAGAATTAGATTTTCTTACTCGAAATTTGAGTTTTTCTCAGAATTTCAGTTTTTCTCAGATTTTGACTTTTTTGTCAGAATTTAAAAAAATTACTCGATATTTGACTTTTTTCTCAGAATTTGATTGTTGTACTCGAAATGTCGCTTATTACTCAGAATTTCATTTTTTAAGAATTTCACTTTTTTCTATTTCAATGTAAATACTGCTATATATTTTTGAAATGTTATTATAGTTTTCTTAAAATAGTTTGTTTGACTTTTTTAGAGACCAATTCTCATGGGAATGACAACACAGTATTTTGTGAAAAACAGATGAATTGACAAGAATAATAAATCCATGCATGATCGAATGTATTTGAAATGAAATCACTTCAAATTCAGCCACGATGAGCTTAATAACTTTTTTGAATTATTGATCAAATGCTTATAGAAATGCAATTATATCATTTTGCATGTGAAACATTGAATACAATAATTTCACAACTTCATTATTTTTATTGATCTAAACTGAAATTTGAATCAGTTTTTAGTGCACAAGTTAGATACTGTTCAATGTGCACGATGAGGAAATGATTGAGGCGGCTCCTCGGCTTCAAACTAACTTCTGTGCAGTGAAACTGGCAGTAACCTGAACCTCAGATCAGGGTCTGAGCTGTGGTGTGTATTAGGGATGGGAAGGATTCATCGAATATTCAAAATGAATCAGGTATTCGAATATGACTTATGAATATTTTGTTTTTTATTATTATCATTTTTTGTTATGGGAGGGGTGCCTCGTCGTCCACGAAAGCACCGGTATCGTGCTCTCTGCGCCTCCCATCATCTACGGTGAGCACTGCCTGCATTTCTGCCTTCATTTCACAAAATAAAGAGACGTTATCAGTGTTTCTGTAAGATCGTGAGCTCAGAAACATCAGAGATCAGACTCAGCTAATACAATAACATAGTTTCAGGCCTTTTAAATAAATAAACGCATACAATAAACAATAATAATAACATTTAAAATCATGAGCGTTTGAACATTTTAGGACAACATCTTTTATATAAACGTATGAATTCCTATGTAATAAAATGCTTTTGTATTAGGGCTGAGCCACACGATTGTTTCATTATTGATGAATGTGCCAATTATTCCTTTCTATTAATTGTGGTCTTAAAAATGAGAAAATCATTTGACAAATGTCCACATTTCTTCAAATCCAGATTTCTTTAACTACTGTTATGGAAATGATGGTATTAAAGCTTAATACAGTGTAATCCTAATGAAATGTAACGGCTGTATCCTGGAAAATGGTGTTAAGGAAATTGTGTGATCAAATGCATGAACATTGCTAACTGTAAACTGTTTCTCTGATTAGGTCAAACCCTGGGAGTCATCAGCAGGTGTCTTTGGAAGGGGGTTTGATGACACTACAGGAAGAGAGGATGGGTGGAAGGAATTTACGATTAGGGGTTATTTGTGTATCCCATTGTTCTTTGAGGGGTTTGAGTTTAAGCACACAGTGCTGTGCCATAGGGCGAACACCTGGCCTCACATGATGTGGGTTATCTTTGAATGTTTCCCTTTAAGAGTGGCTGTAACAGAACAGGGCATCTTGTCTGCTTGCTAGCATTGAAACGAAGATCTCAAAATACTTGATATCGATGTTGTGTTTCCTTGCCTCACTCATCTTTTACTCTAGACCGCAGCTGATTTGAAGTTGCTACGACATTGTCTTGTTTTGTCCATCGAGAAACCCAAATTGGTATTTTGAGAGACTGAAAACTCAACATTCTGCAGATCAATTAGCAGACTAGTTGACTGCATATTATCAAATGGTTTGATTCAATGTGTACGACAGTGCCATTTTAAATACGTTAAAAACACGTGCAACGTTTCACTCTAACGGAGAATCCTACACAACAAACATGGCGTCAAAACGGAGTAATGTGTGGACATGTTTCTCCCAGGTTAGTGAGAGCGGTGTCGAGTGCAAACTATGCAAAGTTAAACTTGTGTATCTGAGGTCATCCGGCTCAATGCTTAACCACATTCCATTTATTATTACAACTTTGTTTTTGTATTCATTTAAAAAACAAAGAAATGTGGCGGCGAAGTCGATAGGGACTTGGCTTGGCAACTGGAAGGTCACCAGTTCAAGTCCCGGCAAGACCAAGTGCTACCGAGGTGTCCCTGAGCAAGGCACTGTTCCCTACACTGCTCCCCGGGCGCCGTTCAAAATGGCAGCACACTGCTCCTAACACTAGGATGGGTCAAACGCAGAGAAACAATTTCCCCACGGGGATTAATAAAGTATATCAAAATCCAAAAAGAAAAAAATGGGATATGTAAATTCTGTGAATGGGTTAACAGTCACCAGACCCAGGTTCCTCCCACAGGCCATAAGACCGTTGAACACCTGGACTGTTGAAAGAACATCCATAACATTCATCTGTTTGCAACTTACACTTTATGTATCTAATATATCATATTCCAATCGCTTGTAGACTCTTATTGCACTATTGTATCTGTGTTATTGTATTACTCTGTTGGAGGAGCCTGTGACCTCAGATGTTCATCGTTATAACTGTAGCTATGTACGTATGACTAATAAAAGCCTTGAACCTTGAGCTTTTTTTCGGGGTGGAATATTCGAGTATAAATGTGCTTTTAAATTCCCAGCGTGTGTTTGAACCTGATGGAGGCTCTCATGCTCTGAAGCACCTGCAGAGAAGATGTCCATGGCCTGCCTCAGCTCCCCCCGGCCCCTCTGGTTGTTGCTGCTCAGATCCACCAGCGGCGTGTGGTCGCTCTCCGTGGTGAACATGCTCCCGTCCACGAACCTCTCCGGGGCGATGTAGCACGTCCTGCGCCGCGACGTGTCGAAGAAGTAGTTGAAGTCTGCGGGGTTGTCCTCGGGCAGGAAGGTGGGCTTGAAGCTGGCGAAGTCTGTGAGCAGCACCCAGTTCCAGCTGGTCACCATCACGTTCTCCGTCTTGATGTCTCCGTGGCGCACGCCGGCTTTGTGAGCCTGGTCGACGGCGTTGAGGATCTGGAAGGCGAGCCAGCGCTTCTCCACGTTGTTGAGGAAGGGCCGCGTGCTGATGCGGTCGTACAGGTTGTCGCGGACGTACTGACGGAACAAGATGGCAGCCTTCTCCGTCAGCGAGGTCTTCTGGAAGGGCAGGCAGTTCTGGCAGGAGTGCAGCCGGATCTTCAGCTCCTCCAGCTCCTGCTTGTAGCTGGTGAGGGGCAGCGAGGGGTCCTGGATGGCGAACACTTTGACCACCACCAGGCCCTCGCGGTGTTTGGCCCGCGCCACCTTGAAGAAGCGGGTGCTGCCTAGGCTCTTGTCGTACTCGTGGTCATGGATGTCGGAGAAGTAGCTGTCCACAGAGAGGATCTGCGAGGGGGCGATGCCCGCCAGCTGGTTCCCCATCACGCCTCAACTCCTCTCTGAGGGAAATATAGACAATGATAAGGTTTCAGAGCATCCGAGGCTTACACCATCTTCAACTGTGCAATACCAACAATCCTTTAGCTGTATAACCTGTGCAGTACTGATTATACTTTATTTGTACTGCATTATTGTGTGTATTATCATTATTATTAATATTCTATTTAATATTCCATTCCTCAAATACTTATGTATATATAATATCCTGCTTTATATTTTGTTACTGTACATTTGTAATTCAAAATCTATATTTTCTTTTATTCAAGTACAAGATCTGAGTACTTCTACTTTTACTCAAGTACAAGATCTGAGTCAAATGTGTGATATTGGGCTATATTTGATTGATTGATATAGTAAGTACAAGATCTGAGTACTTATGTCACCTCTGATGCTACTTCATACTGCATTGCAGTGTTATTTGACAGCTTTATTTACTTTATTTGAATTTTATATATTCCTTTTGCATACAAAAAGGTGAAATGCACACTGACACAAAATGGGTTCTTTTTGAAAGGGTAATTCTAACTTTAGGGAAACTGCTAAGTGGAGAACTAGAATCACGTGACTCAGCAACACAAACAGCTCTTTGACAGCTAACCGTTATTAGCTCCATCAAACAGAAGAGTTAGAAACACATAACAACACAACCATACAGTTATACGTTCAAACACTTAATACAGGTTATAATATGTATTGTTACCAGTTGCTGTAGATTGGACTGTTTTTTTGTTGTGTTTGCTAACGGCTGCAACGGCTACTAACGACTGCTAACGGCTGCTAACGGCTGCTAACGGTGACAAACTAACGGAGATATATTCTTCATATCTCGCATATCAGCTCAGACAGCCGCCCTGCTCCCGTAACATCCGGCTGTCTTCCCGCAACGAGAACCGTAACCGTTAATAGAAGAAGCAGAAGCCGGATCACTCAGTTAGCATGTTAGCCGTTTCCAGCTGTTGTTGTTGTTCATCCGGGTCTCCTTCTTCTTCTTCTTCTTCGTTTTGTTTAATGGTGGGTGGCACCTAACGTTTAAGCTGCATTACCGCCTCCTACTGGCCTGGAGTGTTGGAGTGTGGAGATCCTACTGGACTAGAGTTCCTATTGGACTGGAGTTCTTACGGAGCGTCCACACAGCAGCGTGCGTTGACGCTTGGAGGTGGGCGTATCTGAAGCTTGGGGATTTTTTGCGAGCAACACGACCAACAACCAATCACATGAATCTCCCGCCCCCGACATACAAAGCAATAGCAATGTTAAAACGAAGTAAACTGGATATAAAATCCCCAAACAGGCGAAAACCTACCAGTTTCACCCACTGTCTCTGCCACCTCCCTCCGTGCCTCGCTCCTCCGGTTTGTATCCCGGTAGATGAACAGAGACTGATCATACAGCACCGGATGATTCACTACCGCTACAATGAATTTTCCCTTAATTTTTTTGAATATGAGGAAATGACCTGCGTAGTCTCTCCCAGCATACACGCGGTTTGATTGGCTAGCGATTGTACTGGCAGATTTGAATAAACGGGATTTCATTGGCTGACGGCTCCGTCGAGGCGTCAAAAGTTGAACATTGCTCAACTTTTGACGCCAGCAACGCTCCACGTCGCTTCCCAAAATGCAGTTCGGCTAAAAGTGACGTCACCCCATTCAAAGTGAATGGGCAGAAGCGTTGGAAGCTTCAACGCACGCCGCTGTGTGGACGGGCCGTTACTGTAATAGATTTCCAACTGGACTGGAGTTCTTACTGGACTAGAGTTCCTACTGGACTAGAGTTCCTACTGGACTAGAGTTCTTACTGGACTAGAGTTCCTACTGGACTAGAGTTCTTACTGGACTAGAGTTCCTACTGGACTAGAGTTCTTACTGGACTGGAGTTCCTACTGGACTGGAGTTCTTACTGGACTGGAGTTCCTACTGGACTGGAGTTCTTACTGGACTAGAGTTCATACTGGACTGGAGTTCATACTGGAATGGATTTCCTACTGGACTAGAGTTCTTACTGGACTAGAGTTCCTACTGGACTGGAGTTCTTACTGGACTAGAGTCATACTGGACTGGAGTTCCTACTGGACTAGAGTTCTTACTGGACTGGAGTTCCTACTGGACTAGAGTTCCTACTGGACTGGAGTTCTTACTGGACTTGAGTTCATACTGGACTGGAGTTCCTACTGGACTGGAGTTCCTACTGGACTCGAGTTCTTACTGGACTGGAGTTCATAGTGGACTGGAGTTCCTACTGGACTGGAGTTCTTACTGGACTGGAGTTCATACTGGACTGGAGTTCCTACTGGACTGGAGTTCTTACTGGACTAGAGTTCATACTGGACTGGAGTTCCTACTGGACTGGAGTTCTTACTGGAATAGAGTTCATACTGGACTGGTGTTCCTACTGGACTGGAGTTCTTACTGGAATAGAGTTCATACTGGACTGGAGTTCCTACTGGACTAGAGTTCATACTGAACTGGAGTTCTTACTGGACTAGAGTTCTTACTGGACTAGAGTTCATACTGGACTGGAGTTCCTACTGGAATGGATTTCCTACTGGACTGGAGTTCTTACTGGACTTGAGTTGCTTCTGGACTAGAGTGTTGGAGTGTGGAGTTCCTACAGGACTAGAGTTCATACTGGACTGAAGTTCCTACTGGACTGGAGTGCTTACTGGACTGGAGTTCCTACTGGACTGGAGTTCCTACTGGACTAGAGTTCTTACTGGACTGGAGTTCCTACTGGACTAGAGTTCATACTGGACTTGAGTTCCTACTGGAATGGAGTTCCTGCTGGACTGGAGTTCTTACTGGACTAGAGTTCATACTGGACTTGAGTTCCTACTGGACTGGAGTTTCTACTGGACTGGAGTTCTTACTGGACTAGAGTTCATAGTGGACTAGAGTTCCTACTGGACTGGAGTTCTTACTGGACTGGAGTCATACTGGACTGGAGTTCCTACTGGACTAGAGTTCTTACTGGACTAGAGTTCTTACTGGACTGGGGTTCCCACTGGACTGGAGTTCTAACTGGACTTGAGTTCATACTGGACTGGAGTTCATACTGGACTGGGGTTCCCACTGGACTGGAGTTCTAACTGGACTTTAGTTCATACTGGACTGGAGTTCATACTGGACTGGAGTTCTTACTGGACTGGAGTTCCTACTGGACTGGAGTTCATACTGGACTAGAGTTCATACTGGACTGGAGTTCATACTGGACTAGAGTTCATACTGGACTGGAGTTCCTACTGGACTGGAGTTCCTACTGGACTGGAGTGTTGGAGTGTGGACCACAAATCACGGGAGCAACAAGGAAGAAGGATACAAAACAAAGTACAACAAAAATAAAAAATCCCTCGGAGGTTTTATTATTATTACAATTATAATTATTATTAATATATGTTTTATTTTAATTGTATTTGTTGCCATTATTCTGTGCACGTCTCTCGGAGGTGGGGCTAACACAGCAGCCCCAGTGCCGTATAGATAGGAGGAGGAGGAAGAGGAGAAGGAAGAGGAAGAAGAGGAGGGTGTTTTTGAGGTGGTAAAAAGCAGTGTTGGGGATGTGGTTGCAGGAGGGAGAGGGTGGGTCAAAGAGGACACCTGGGTCATTGTATATTCAAATTCAACTTTCAAAGGTTTTATCATCAGATGCTCATAAGCTACAGTACAGTGTAGACATGGCAATGACATTCTTCTGACCTGAGCTGCTCCAACAATGCAACATATAAAATCCAATCTTATCATTTTCAGAAATAGGCACATTGCGCTTAGTGGTTCATCAGATTAACAGCATTCACTGCGGATGGTTTTATGGTCTCAATGTGTCTAAAGGTCGCTAAAAATATAACTAACTGTAGAAAAAGAAACAAAATCTGCGTGCATACCCTTTGAAGTGTACAAATGTACTTGAAGTTTCACCTGCTCTTATTGTGAAAGTATTACTGGAAGTGGTCAGCAGTAGTAACTGTGACACCCCATATGTAGATAAAGTGTTGAAGACCCCTGCTCTAATGGGTCCAAATAGAATGACAAATATCGTTAGTTCCGCCTATTCTTAAATACTCTTCGAGCAGGTAGCGCATTAATGACCTTGTTCATTTAAGACAAGACAATGAAGTGACGAGAGAGGGTTCAAATCAACGCTGAAAGCACTGGATAAATAAATAAATAGGAAGACTGAGTCCTGGACCAACTTCTAACCCCGATTTTTTTTCATTTTCAGGGGGGCCAGAGGGGGGGTCCAAAGACAGTGTTACCGCCCCTGCACGCTGTATCCCGGGTTGCGTTCCAATAGTCCATTTAGCTTAGGAACCTTCCTAACCAAGTGAAATGACCCGGAAGTCCCTCAGTGGCAGCCATGATAAGTGCCGTTCCAATTCTCCAAATGAAAGGAAAGGAGGTTTCAAACTTCCTTTATAACCTCCTTTAGCTTAGGAACCACTGGACCTCCCTAACCGAAAGGAGAGGAGAAAATGCTGCCCCACAATGCATTGCAGCCGCAGCATTTGCCATCTCAACAGTCGGCCGTTCACGGAAACAACCGATTATGACAGAGAAATGATATCATGAAAGTTACGGTGCTTATTAAGCATTTTAAAACGTATGTGGTAAGTTGCCAAAGTGCTTTGTTCTGAACGTTCATCAGTATTATAATCAAAAAGAGAAATATGAACGTTAGTTTTTACTGAAATGATCAAATAAAGTCAACATATCACAGTCTTCACTGAGCTGTGGGGTTGTTCAACTTTTAAAAGATGTTTGAATGGTGATATACACAGTGATAGATGTTAAGGACTAACGTTATAATAAATACATCTGTATTGATTTTAAGATCTTTTCATCAATCATACGTATTGGGATCATTTGTATTAATGTGGACCGGAGGGAGAGGGGGACGAGCAGAAGCTTCACTTTCCTTTTTATTTCAATTCCAACTTTGGTCCTGAAGAATATGTTTCTCTGTTGTCCACGTTCATAAAGCATAAAGCAGCAGCATCAGAGCACAGAGTCTCTAGATGAGTTTACAGGAGTCCCTCGTTCTTATTGAACATCCATGTTGTAGTCCGCTGTGTAGAAAACTGTAGTTTCCATAGTTTCCCCACAGCAGCAGACTGTGGTCATGAGGTCCGCTGGCGCATCATAAACACGTCGGATAGTGAAAGTGCAGTCGATTCTCTAAAGCAGTGATTCTCAAATGGGGGTACGCGGACCCCTGGGGGTACGTTGGGGTACTGCAGGGGGTACGCGAGATTAAAAAATAAATAAAAAAAAGAAGTTAATTAAAAAAATAATCTTAGTAAAATAAGTAAAATAGAAAACACAATTTTATATAAAACATTCCTAGAACCACCAAGGGGGTCCTCATATAAACATGTCAAATGTGTGTATTGTATTTTATAGTTTTTCACAATAACATATTACTTAAATTGAAAAACTCCTTGGAAAAATCTGTTTTATAAAAGTGTTATGTTATTTTTTTTCATGCATAAAGTGAAAATATCCTTAGTTTGTTGTAATGCACGAAGGAGTTAAAACATCACACACTGAGGGAACATCACTATATTGTAATTATTTATATAGGCTTTTTCGATCAAAACAATTCTGGATCGGTCAGGGGGTACTTGGCTGAGAAATTGTTTCAAAGGGGGTACATTACTGAAAAAAGTTTGAGAAGCACTGCTCTAAAGTACCGCGGTCTCTTCTCCTAAGTCCTTTTGAATTCTCCTATCCACTATCCCTTAACCCTGTGACGTTTCACTCAGAGGTCAAGGAATAGGAGATAGGGTTAGAATTTAGGAGCTGATTTTTGGATTATCGGAACGCAACCCAGTTCTTATTATACATCCATGACGTAGACAGCCTGCTCTTATTGTGAAAGGTTTTCCGGAAGTGGTAAGCAGTAGTGACATCGGCCCTACGTAGACAGCCTGCTCTTATTCCGAAAGTGTTCCCGGAAGTGGTGATCAGTTCGCTGCGTGAGTAAATCGCTCCGCGGTGGGATTTCACGGAAGATGCTGAAGAAACGGGAGCCGCTGGTAAGTTAAACCCTGAGTGACTTTTCTTTATGTAATGTAGACT